GAGTTGCAGGCTTTCAGTTGCAGGCTTTGAGTTGCAGTCTTTGAGTTGCAGTCTTTGAGTTGCAGGCTTTGAGTTCCAGACTTTGAGTTGCAGACTTTGAGTTGCAGACTTTGAGTTGCAGGCTTTGAGTTGCAGGCTTTGAGTTGCAGACTTTGAGTTGCAGACTTTGAGTTGCAGGCTTTGAGTTGCAGGCTTTGAGTTGCAGACTTTGAGTTGCAGACTTTGAGTTGCAGGCTTTGAGTTGCAGGCTTTGAGTTGCAGACTTTGAGTTGCAGACTTTGAGTTGCAGGCTTTGAGTTGCAGGCTTTGAGTTCCAGACTTTGAGTTGCAGACTTTGAGTTGCAGTCTTTGAGTTGCAGGCTTTGAGTTGCAGGCTTTGAGTTGCAGGCTTTGAGTTGCAGGCTTTGAGTTCCAGACTTTGAGTTGCAGACTTTGAGTTGCAGTCTTTGAGTTGCAGGCTTTGAGTTGCAGTCTTTGAGTTGCAGTCTTTGAGTTGCAGGCTTTGAGTTGCAGGCTTTGAGTTGCAGACTTTCAGTGGCAGGCTTTGAGTTCCAGACTTTGAGTTGCAGACTTTGAGTTGCAGTCTTTGAGTTGCAGGCTTTGAGTTGCAGTCTTTGAGTTGCAGTCTTTGAGTTGCAGTCTTTGAGTTGCAGGCTTTGAGTTGCAGTCTTTGAGTTGCAGTCTTTGAGTTGCAGGCTTTGAGTTGCAGGCTTTGAGTTCCAGACTTTGAGTTGCAGACTTTGAGTTGCAGACTTTGAGTTGCAGGCTTTGAGTTGCAGGCTTTGAGTTGCAGACTTTGAGTTGCAGACTTTGAGTTGCAGGCTTTGAGTTGCAGGCTTTGAGTTGCAGACTTTGAGTTGCAGTCTTTGAGTTGCAGGCTTTGAGTTCCAGACTTTGAGTTGCAGACTTTGAGTTGCAGGCTTTGAGTTGCAGGCTTTGAGTTGCAGACTTTCAGTGGCAGGCTTTGAGTTCCAGATTTTGAGTTGCAGACTTTGAGTTGCAGTCTTTGAGTTGCAGGCTTTGAGTTGCAGTCTTTGAGTTGCAGTCTTTGAGTTGCAGTCTTTGAGTTGCAGGCTTTGAGTTGCAGTCTTTGAGTTGCAGTCTTTGAGTTGCAGGCTTTGAGTTCCAGACTTTGAGTTGCAGACTTTGAGTTGCAGGCTTTGAGTTGCAGGCTTTGAGTTGTTAGGCTTTGAGTTGCAGACTTTGAGTTGCAGGCTTTGAGTTGCAGGCTTTGAGTTGCAGTCTTTGAGTTGCAGGCTTTGAGTTGCAGTCTTTGAGTTGCAGGCTTTGAGTTGCAGGCTTTGAGTTGCAGACTTTGAGTTGCAGGCTTTCAGTTGCAGGCTTTGAGTTGCAGACTTTGAGTTGCAGACTTTGAGTTGCAGGCTTTGAGTTGCAGGCTTTCAGTTGCAGGCTTTCAGTTGCAGGCTTTGAGTTGCAGGCTTTGAGTTGCAGGCTTTGAGTTGCAGGCTTTGAGTTGCAGGCTTTCAGTTGCAGGCTTTCAGTTGCAGGCTTTGAGTTGCAGGCTTTGAGTTGTTAGGCTTTGAGTTGCAGGCTTTGAGTTGCAGGCTTTCAGTTGCAGGCTTTCAGTTGCAGGCTTTCAGTTGCAGGCTTTGAGTTGCAGTCTTTGAGTTGCAGTCTTTGAGTTCCAGACTTTGAGTTGCAGACTTTGAGTTGCAGACTTTGAGTTGCAGGCTTTGAGTTGCAGACTCTGAGTGGCAGTCTTTGAGTTGCAGGCTTTGAGTTGCAGTCTTTGAGTTGCAGACTTTGAGTTGCAGACTTTGAGTTGCAGGCTTTGAGTTGCAGACTCTGAGTGGCAGTCTTTGAGTTGCAGGCTTTGAGTTCCAGACTTTGAGTTGCAGACTTTGAGTTGCAGTCTTTGAGTTGCAGGCTTTGAGTTGCAGTCTTTGAGTTGCAGACTTTGAGTTGCAGACTTTGAGTTGCAGGCTTTGAGTTGCAGGCTTTGAGTTGCAGACTTTGAGTTGCAGGCTTTGAGTTGCAGGCTTTCAGTTGCAGGCTTTGAGTTGCAGACTTTGAGTTGCAGGCTTTGAGTTGTTAGGCTTTGAGTTGCAGGCTTTGAGTTGCAGGCTTTGAGTTGTTAGGCTTTGAGTTGCAGGCTTTGAGTTGCAGGCTTTCAGTTGCAGGCTTTGAGTTGCAGTCTTTGAGTTGCAGTCTTTGAGTTGCAGGCTTTGAGTTCCAGACTTTGAGTTGCAGACTTTGAGTTGCAAGCTTTGAGTTGCAGGCTTTGAGTTGCAGACTTTGAGTGGCAGTCTTTGAGTTGCAGACTTTGAGTTGCAGGCTTTGAGTTGCAGGCTTTGAGTTGCAGACTTTGAGTTGCAGTCTTTGAGTTGCAGGCTTTGAGTTGCAGGCTTTGAGTTGCAGTCTTTGAGTTGCAGGCTTTGAGTTGCAGGCTTTGAGTTGTTAGGCTTTGAGTTGCAGACTTTGAGTTGCATACTTTGAGTTGCAGGCTTTGAGTTGCAGTCTTTGAGTTGCAGGCTTTGAGTTGCAGTCTTTGAGTTGCAGGCTTTGAGTTGCAGGCTTTCAGTTGCAGGCTTTGAGTTGCAGGCTTTGAGTTGCAGACTTTCAGTTGCAGGCTTTCAGTTGCAGGCTTTGAGTTGCAGGCTTTGAGTTGTTAGGCTTTGAGTTGCAGGCTTTGAGTTGCAGACTTTGAGTTGCAGGCTTTCAGTTGCAGGCTTTCAGTTGCAGGCTTTGAGTTGCAGGCTTTGAGTTGCAGGCTTTGAGTTGCAGGCTTTCAGTTGCAGGCTTTCAGTTGCAGGCTTTGAGTTGCAGGCTTTGAGTTGTTAGGCTTTGAGTTGCAGGCTTTGAGTTGCAGGATTTGAGTTGCAGGCTTTCAGTTGCAGGCTTTCAGTTGCAGGCTTTGAGTTGCAGTCTTTGAGTTGCAGGCTTTGAGTTGCAGACTTTGAGTTGCAGACTTTGAGTTGCAGTCTTTGAGTTGCAGGCTTTGAGTTGCAGACTTTGAGTTGCAGACTTTGAGTTGCAGTCTTTGAGTTGCAGGCTTTGAGTTGCAGGCTTTGAGTTGCAGACTTTGAGTTGCAGGCTTTGAGTTGCAGGCTTTGAGTTGCAGACTTTGAGTTGCAGGCTTTGAGTTGTTAGGCTTTGAGTTGCAGTCTTTGAGTTGCAGGCTTTGAGTTGTTAGGCTTTGAGTTGCAGGTTTTGAGTTGCAGGCTTTGAGTTGCAGGCTTTCAGTTGCAGTCTTTGAGTTGCAGGCTTTGAGTTCCAGACTTTGAGTTGCAGTCTTTGAGTTGCAGGCTTTGAGTTGCAGGCTTTCAGTTGCAGACTTTGAGTTGCAGACTTTGAGTTGCAGTCTTTGAGTTGCAGTCTTTGAGTTGCAGGCTTTGAGTTGCAGGCTTTGAGTTGCAGACTTTGAGTTGCAGGCTTTGAGTTGCAGTCTTTGAGTTGCAGGCTTTGAGTTCCAGACTTTGAGTTGCAGACTTTGAGTTGCAGGCTTTGAGTTGCAGGCTTTGAGTTGTTAGGCTTTGAGTTGCAGACTTTGAGTTGCAGACTTTGAGTTGCAGGCTTTGAGTTGCAGTCTTTGAGTTGCAGGCTTTGAGTTGCAGGCTTTGAGTTGCAGACTTTGAGTTGCAGGCTTTGAGTTGCAGTCTTTGAGTTGCAGTCTTTGAGTTGCAGGCTTTGAGTTGCAGGCTTTGAGTTGCAGGCTTTGAGTTGCAGTCTTTGAGTTGCAGTCTTTGAGTTGCAGGCTTTGAGTTGCAGGCTTTGAGTTGCAGGCTTTGAGTTGCAGGCTTTGAGTTGCAGACTTTGAGTTGCAGGCTTTGAGTTGCAGGCTTTGAGTTGCAGACTTTGAGTTGCAGTCTTTGAGTTGCAGGCTTTGAGTTGCAGGCTTTGAGTTGCAGTCTTTGAGTTGCAGTCTTTGAGTTGCAGTCTTTGAGTTGCAGGCTTTGAGTTGCAGGCTTTGAGTTGCAGGCTTTGAGTTGCAGACTTTGAGTTGCAGGCTTTGAGTTGCAGGCTTTGAGTTGCAGGCTTTGAGTTGCAGAGTTGCAGGCTTTGAGTTGCAGTCTTTGAGTTGCAGACTTTGAGTTGCAGGTTTTGAGTTGCAGGCTTTGAGTTGCAGGCTTTGAGTTGCAATCTCGTGGCCCAGATTTTATGTTCAGGTCGCACAATTCCTCAATAACATGAAGCAGTCCGTTAAGACAAAGGAATAATATATCAAGAGCCATGCTAAAGTATTTGTACCTCCAGCACTTTTATTACTTTGTGTATTTTTAACACGTGTTAAAATTACCTTAAGGTGGCAATATGCAACTTTTTAGAAGATATATTACTTTCATATTTGTTAAAAATCTAATTATATGCTCAAAGTAGAATATGAATTTGTGGAAAAAATCAAGTCTGTCTGTCTCTGCATTTAGAAAAATACTCCAGTACCAAATCATGACAGCCAAGGAGTATTTTTTATTCTATTTCAAATTGGTTTGTTTCTCTGCCATTACCATAACAACAGCAACCAGCTACAACTTTAGCAATGGGTACACATGTGACATGTGTGGCACATGTGTTGTGAATGACAGGTGAAAGACACTCCTTCCTCCTGGCTCTGATTGGTTGTTTTGATTTGGGAGTGAGTCTTTTTCTAAATGCTATCAGGCACTAAGGCAGTGGTTCCCAAAGATTTTGGGAGGCGCGTCCCACAGTTTGGGAACCACTGGGCTAAAGAAAGAGACAGGGAAACTTGATTATCTCTCTCATATTCTGCTTTCAAAATAAGATTTTTAGTCAACATGAAAATAATTTATCTTCAAGAAAGTTACATACTGCAGCTGTTTATTTCTTTGAGGGCATGACAGGCGTTGGTAAAAATAAAAGAGAAGCCAAACAGCAGTTGACTGTTTTGTCAAGCAGCTGGACTTTTTCTCCTGAAGTTAACTTCTTTATAGCCTCCTCTTTCACTGATGAATGCATCAGTGAAACATTTGGAGACAAATAAACAGAACGAACAAATATTTGGAGATGATTGTTACCTTTAATATGATGGTGTAGGGACCAGGGACATGGTTATAAATGTTGGCAGAATCAGTACTATCAAAAATGAATTACAGTAATTATAACATTGTTAAAAGGTTGCAGTTATTGTCTGATGATGGGATTGACCTTCCTCTGTATGTGTGTGTGTTTCCTGGATGACTCGTCTTTCTTCTTCCTGCTGCTGCTGAGACTCCTCTGCTGCAGCCTGTAGGTTTTCCCAGCTTGAATTCTCTCCTTCTCCAGAACCTCTGTATCATCCAGAATTTCCAGGCCTGGGATCTGACTGATTACGTAAAGTCTGAGGGGGAAAACACCACAGCTACAAAAACAATCCAGTCAACATGGACAAGATGTTTATCTGCTAATGCATCTTTTATAAGGTGGGAAGATGGGAAATTGTACAAAATTACATTGGAAGACGAGTCAGGACTTCAGGATAGGTGTTACTGTAGCCCTCCTGAAATTTATATCTGAGAAAACCTTTATTTGACCATTTTCTGAAACGTTATGCCCCAGGTAGGATATTTCTGACAGTTATTTCTGATTTGAGTTTCACTAGAGTAATCTGTCCAGTTGCGGGTTCTTCATTTGCTTTGCTAAGATAGTTTGTCAGAAATATACTGAGAGAAAACTCCATATGTGAAATAATTTAAATTCAAAAATACATTATTGGTCCCAAAGGGAAATTAAATGACAACCAAGATAATTTTTTCTCTCTCAATGGTTGGATATTTAAATGAATGATGAAAAATTTTAAAGTTCTGATTGATTGAGAGGGTGGGAAGAGAAATATGAATGAGAAAAGAGGAGTGAGCCCCCTGGAACTTAAAGAACTAAAGAGGAAACAAACAAATGGAAAATGAAAACTAAACTTGTCAAACGTTTTAGTTCGGAGTGTATTTAGGAACGCAGCAGGACTTCTTGAAGCTGTGTCCTGCATAAAACCGCAGCTGACATACCGGCCCGAGCCTCCATAGGCCCCTAATCGAAATGTGGTTTGGAGCCCTCTAATTCTGTTAATAATGTGAACTGGCTGCAATCAACAGTCAGATTATTAGGTCATTCACACACCTGTTAAAATGATTGCATCTCTGACAGTAATGTTTACATTATATTCTATATGCATAAAAGACACATTTAATGTCTGATTTATCTGCATCAATTTCTTTAACTTAGGGGGTGATTGGCCGATGCTTACATGTAAAGCCAATCTTATCCACTGATATGATCTACCGCAGCAAAAGTTTAAAAATCAGCCTCTGTCCTCCTCTGCTCTACAGTGAAAAGTTTGACTGACAGTCCAGCCCACCAGGTCATGTCTCTATGTTTGCAGTTAAAAATATTCACCCACTGTTGCCAACTCAGTGACTTTCTTGCTATATTTAACAACATTTCATACAGAAACAAATTGGTATCAGTCAAAATCAAAATCGGTAGGTCTGGCTTTTTCAAGATCAGGGATTGGCCAGAAAATTGCTATTGGTGGAGCCCAATTTAAGATGGAATACACACACATATTTAAGACATTCTTTGATTAAATTAAATTCTCTAAGCGTAATTCCAATGGCTAAAAATTTTATGTATACCAGGTGAGTCTTTCTCCCCTGAAAATGTGGATTAGTACTGAACTGACTTTGTGCCTTCAAACAATTTTAATTGGAAAAGTTTCACATAAAGATGTTGACATAAAATACTGCTTGTTTTAGATACATAAATTATCAGGAGCAAACTTGAAGCCAAAAAACACTGAAACATACAGAGCCAACCATGAGAATGAACACATTTAAAATTCAAACTCAGTTTCACACAAATACAGACATTGTAGCCTAAGTGTTTGGTTGCTGTACTGGACCGGTCAAGGTCATGTTAATATTAAATAAGAAATGGGATTGGAATCATACATGAATAAGTTTTTTTGTGATAAATCTTTAAAAACATGCTACTCTATCATTCTCCAACTTCTTGTTGTTTTCTTTGTAGTTTTCGCCAGTGGCATCCGGTTGTTGATGCAAAAAATTTTTTCCATTGCAGTCAATACCTTTTGGTGCTACAAAACTAAAGAAAACTAAAATTGTTATTTTTTTAAATTGACGTTTCTCATTAAGTTAATTTTCAAAATGTGAAGTAGCACAATTATGTTGTCATGTAGCCAGGTTGTTTTTCAAATTTGTTGCTACTTATAGATCTTCTCTTGCAGATTATTTATTTAATCTGCAAGATTAAATAAATAATCTTTGAACATTATTAAGCACATGTTATTTATCAAAAGCCCACAATCTGAATGAAAAAGGAAAACCCACCGGTAGTCTATATGTTGGGACAGACTTCCTCCATTGAAGTAGCTCGGTGCAGCCTCGTTGTTCATCATGCTGAGGACCCTAGAGTTGGAAGGGAACACAATCATCAGAGAACAGAAGATGCTCCACCTCACCTGCCTGCAGACCCTGAAAAAATGGCTAACTTGATGTTGGGGAACTTTCGCCGAATCTCCTCCACAAACACGGGTAGGTTATTGATCTTGTTCTTGTTGATGCACATGGCGGTGATGCTTGGCATGTAGGGGAACTTGACATGAGATGTGTAGTTGTTGGAGTCGAGAATCAGAGTGTTGAGCTTCTCCAGCCGCCCCAACAGAGCCGGGTTCCAGTAAAGATTGAGTCAAGGAGAAAACACTGAAAAGAAGTTTATCAATTACACTCTAAGAAATAATCCTGTAAATTTACAGTAAAATATTGGCAGCTACAGACACCAGTTTTCAACTGTTAATGCACAGTAGCTGTACTGTAATTTATTTTGACTGAAGATTACCATTGTAGCAAGTACAGTATTGATACTGTGAAAGAACAGTAAAATACTGACGTCTGGAGCTGCCAGCATTTTACTGAAAATTTACATTATATTACAAATAATATGCAGCAAACAAAAAATAGTTGAAAATGAAATTGCTCCAGACTATTACAACAGTTGGGTCCAAATTCAGAGTTTGCATCCTTTCCAGCTTATTGTTTCAAGGGCTTGAGAAATGGCCTGGTCCTTCAAAGGCCACAAATATTGACAATCGGAAGAAAGAAGCTGTAGCTTTCAGCTAGCTGCCTAGCATCCGAATACAGAGTTGGAACAATACCAACTCTGTAGGGAAACTAACACTTCTATTTTTGAATTGGACTAAAGTGTTGAATTAACACTGTATTATTACACTAGAAATCTAACCCTTGATTTTGCTCTGTAGATTTTGATTCATTCTCTAAAAGATTTATTATAGAAAGTATTTTTTTCTTTCCATTTAATATTGACTTTGAATGATGATTCTCTAAGATGCAATTACAAGTAAAATGTCTTGCCTTGGAAAAATACTATATTGTACAATTATTTTTGCGGTAGTGTACTGCCAGTCGTCCGTCTTGATTGTGACAACAGAAGAAAATATCAAATTTAACAAAATTCTACCTTATTTCATAACAGTATGTTACTGTGAGAATTCTGGTGTAAATTTACAGAAGTTTTTAAGACTGTAGTTCACTAAGTGATGAACTGCTGGGAAAATATAAAGTCATCAATCATAGTGGTCAATCACAGATATAGACTCTCACCAAGGTAACGGTATCATCCACGGTTCACATGCAGACCAGAAATGGCTATTTAATTGATTTGATCTGCAACAACATGAATCCATCCATCCATCCTTATATCCTTATATCTGTCCATCCAAGGAGGTCAAGCAACTGCAGAGGGAGAGAAACAGTGCAGACACAGAGAAATAGCAGATCCCCTTTTCAGACACAGGGATCTTTCCCAGGTCCGGACACAGGGAGCTGTACGGCTGCGCCAAGGCAAACTACAAACAGAGGATTGAGGATGAATTCAGCAGCAACACATGTCCTCAGCACTGAGAACCAGCTCCACAAGGCTCTGTGCTAACCCCCTCCCCTAACCCTTCTATTTCCATGACTATAGCCCTGCTCACCCAAACATCATAAAGCTTGCTGATGATATCACGGTGGTGGGACCGATCTCTGGAGGAGATGAAACCGCATACAGTGTGGAGGTGGATCGACTGTGTATCTGGTGCACCAACAACTTTTTCTGTTTGAACACCTTCAAGTCGAAGAAATTGATTATCGACTTTAGGAGGTATAAACCGCACATTCAGCCCATCATTGTAAATGATGAGCTGAGGGTAGACATGGTGCAAAATTTGTTTCCTGGGCAGCTACATCAGTGAAGACCTGATCTGGAATGCTAACTCCACTTCTGTCCTGAAGAAGTCCCTGCAGAGAACTGCTCAACAGAAAAAGGATACTCATCCAAGATATTGTAACTCAGGTCCAGCACCTCAAGCGTATCTGTCTGCATCAGTATGCTGTCATATGGGATCTCTGTCAGGCCTTGATAGGCAAAAGAAAGACGGTGGAAACCCGAGGCTTGGTTGGCCTGCTTGTGCTCAGCTGTGGTCTGAAGCTCCATGACATCAGAACTTCACTGTGTGACTTTGTCCACTTCTTCCCTCTGGAAAGATCAGTCCATGACCAGCCTCAACAAGACACAGAACATGGAATGGTTAACATTCGTCACTGAATGACACTGAATGTCATTCAGTGCAAACCTACACTGTATTTTATTAATATGTGTTTTATCAAATCTGTTACTGTAACACTTTAAGACCAATAGATATAATTTCCCATGGTAAAATGGATAATAGACAACAAATCCACTATTAGTACATTCTAAATTAGCATGGAAGGAGATGAATAAAATATGTGGGATGCCACATTTAAAACAGTTGTATTCCTCATTGTGGTTTAATCCATATTGGGAACAAAGGCTTATAAAGGGACACATACCGTGGATGTTTTGTCTACAGAAGGGGTTTTCATGTCTTTTTCAGCTGTCATGATCAAAAATGATACAAATAAAGACAGTTTCTGGAAATACCTACAAATTAGAGACTGCATAAACAAAAACAATCTCACACATAATGATAATCTAATTGGGGAGTTTATGTGCTCAAGTAGAATCCAATATAAAGCGTCCACATTTTATAAATGATTTAATAGTATGCAAAAGGATGTACGTAAAAGTCTGGGGATTGTCTGGCCGAGAGACCTCGGCTGCATTTTTATTGATGACCGTGGGCGGAAATCATTGGTGGGTCAGTAGGGTCCAGACCCCCCAATCTTGGAAAAGTCTACAATTGTCCCTCCCCTTGAAAATCATAAATAAAACAATATTTAAACAATATCAATATATAGGGATAAGAAACATAGAATGAAACAAATCTGCCATTCATCAAAGAAAAAAATAAGAATTAATTTGTAGGTCCACCCCCACCATTGTTAGAACATGAAGTGAGGAGCTAGCTGTGGCTCTGCAGCTCTTACTTTTACTGCTCAATAGGAAGAAACACATTAACAGTAAAAATCAGACTACAATTCTTTTTTTTTTTTTACTTCAGCTGAATCATGATTAATCAAAACCAGCTAAACTGGCTACATTGCTTTGATAGACAAACTTTTTTGTTGAAGGTAGCAAATATCTCAATTATATAAGCGTTATCCCTCTTATGTTAAAGAGAAGAGTTTGAAAAGACAGGGTACTACTGTGTGAGAGATGAGACCAGAGAGATAGAGAAAAACAGAAATGTTTGCTTTTATTTTTTCATTTTCAACACAGAGTCTCTAAAACGACACACACAAGAATAATCTAGATATTTTTCTATGAAAACTCTGGTACTTTGAACATTAAGTTTAAGTTATGATACTTCCCAGATCTAAAAAAGATTTAAACATAAAGCAATTTATAATTTAAATAAGACAGAACTTGTATTGAGAGCCACTACAATAAATCAATATTTATGAGAAATTTTATAAGGCGGAGTTACTCATTAAAACTTTAAATATTTGTACAGATGTAGCAGAGATTATATTCATGCCACTGAACCAAACTCATACCTAAACATTAAAATTTTAGATAAGACTTTTCTGGGTCTTGATAGTTTGCTTACAGAGAAAACAACATGTTTGTGCATTACCACTTGTTATTTTTGGTCTTGCAGCTTGAATACATTAAAAACTTTTTAAAACACATTTTACGTGACATTTCACTGTAACTTTGCTGATCCCTTCAAAGTTGTTCTTAAAAAATTTCCATGTTTATCATCCCTCCCAACAATGGAATTGGATTTCCTCCCTTGGTGATGATGAATGGTTGAGAATACTGTCAAATAATGTGAAATGTCCTAAAGAATCCAGAGGAAAATTTATGCACTATAAGATGGTACATAGATTTTATTTCACACCATCCAGGCTTCACAGAATGGGTCTACTTACTAACAACCTATTCTGGAAATTCAAAATGGAATCGGGAACCTTTATACATGTGATCTGGGAATGTAAATGCATATCTCCATTCTGGAAAACAGTAATACAACATATTGGAAAGTGAATAGGTGTGGAGATACCCATGTCACTAAGACTGTGCATGTCACAAAGCACCGTGGTGCAGGTGTGGACGGTCACGGCTGTCAGAATATTCCTCAAACTATGGAAATCTTCAACTGTTCCGAATGTTAAAAGTAGGTTGGAATTAATGTTGGAAATAGTGTCATATGAACAAATGCTGGCCAAATTACAGTATATAATGACATTAAAGACTTTAAAAATCCTAGAATACTCCAATACTGAGACAAGTAAACTCCTTTAATGAACTGCTAAAAAATACTGACAAGTGACTACTTCTGTTTACTGTGGTTGTTCTTCTACCATCAAGGATATTTAATCTTCTGTGAAACTTTTATTGATTTAATATGAGCTGACCTGGTTGTTTTGTTTTAGTTTGTTTTATTTATGGTTTGTTTTGTTTTGAGAGAGAATGACGAGGGTTAGAATACATGTGTCTTCTGAAACAGGAAAAACATTAATACCACAAAAATTAATACCACAAAAAAATTATTTTACTTTAGATGATTATCATATGAAGACTGCGGAAAGTGCTTTGGTAGAGTAATATACAAATGTAAAGGAATCTTGCAGATCGCAGTCGATGGGTATATTAATGGGCTTAAATAAAAGCAGAAGCTGAGGCACTAGAAGAAACAAATGGAGCCTACATTCTAGATTAGATTAGATCAACGTTATTGTCCCCTAGCGGCAATTTGCTTTGCAGACAGAAAGAATAATATTGCAGATAAATACATAAAAAATGACAATAATAGTACACCAGAACATCCATATAGCATACAATTCAACCATATACCACCACAGTGTGTTTGGATTTCTCAGATTCCCCCTGAAAACTTGCTAAGGTCAGAGGTTGGGGTGCAAGGGTGGCCCACCAACAGTGTGCACACTGTTGGTTGTATTTAAAAAATGTAAGTTGACAGGAAATGTAAACATATTACTAGGTAATTATGTTACTGGAAGACCATAGCAATGCTAAAACACACAGTCTTAAGAAATAACAAACCAAAAAATACAGTTGAAATAAATATAATTTATTTTCACATTTGTTTAATCCCAATTGGGTAATTAGCCAGTGGATCTAAAAACACATTTAAAACTGAACTAAATAAATGAACGAGGCAGCTGCTTAGTTCTGCTTAGTTGGGGATCCCCATGAATACTAACATTTTAACACAGACCACTGACATTGAATTTTAACATTTGTTTAGTCAGAATGACAACGTTGTCAAATTAGATTTAACAGGTGCAGCAGGGATAAATTAAAAGATTTTAAGGAGCTGGCAAATTTACTGTGTAAACAGAACAAAGAACAATCTTGACATAGATAACAACAGTGTGATGTTGCTATGGTAACAGAGGTAACAGAATTGTGAACAAACAGTTTGGGTTCTATTTGTTTAGAATAGATGTATTTGAATATACACTATTGTTAAAACTAAAATGTTCTTCAGAACTTTTCCCACATTTGGCCAGTAGAGGGAGCAGGTTCCCACCTGTCTGTGAGGCCTCAGTGTTCTGGTTCTGTTGCAGACTGCTGAAGATCTCCAGTAGAACATGTTGGAAACTCACATAGCTTTGATTTACTTCACGTTTATATATTCACAAATACATCTATTGTCAACAATAGATGTAAAAGGAAAACAATAAAGGCAACACTCACATAACACATCCTAGATCTGAATGAATGAAATAAATATGAAAATAATTTCCACCTGTTGTCTATTCCAATTGCACAACAGCAGGTGATATTGATTGTCAATCAGTGTTGCTTTCTAAGTGGACAGTTTGATTTCACACAAGTTTGATTTACTTGGAGATATATTGTGTTAATTGAGTGTTCCCTTTATTTTTTTAGCAGTATATATTTGTTATCTCAGCAATTTACAATTACCTCCAACCTTGCTTTTAATGATGGACAGTTAAGCTCGAGCCCCTCTCCCAAATTCCATTAAATCAATCTTGAAATGCTATTAGTGGTGCTGACGTTCTTTGCAGACAGAGGGGACCCTAAATCAAATTGTGCTTCATGCAATCTTGGACTGGCCCTGCACGAGGAGCTAAATCTGTTGCACTGTATATCCCATTGCTGGCTACAGCAATGGGATATACAAATATATATATACAAAATATACAAGGATATACAAGGAGATTCAACTTATGGGATAGTAGAGAATAAGCTTTTTCATTTCTTCACTGTAAATTTTGTAAGATCCACAGAGAATACTTTGTTTACTTGCTGGAACTTTAAGGAACACGTTTTCCTGATCATATCAGAGCGACTACCGGAGAGACAAAGCATTTGATATGGCACAGTTTGAAGCAGTGTCACACTGCAAAAAATAAATAATAAAAACAACATTCTCCATGACTACAAGGCGAGCATTACAGCCCCTCTATGCGCTGATCAATGGGCGCACCGATGCACCACTGAGGAACACATACATAAACTTTATCAATGTACACACACAGCCATGCGCTGGGCTAGTAGTTTCAGTTTCTTGGACACAGCTGTCCAGGAAACTGAAATTTGGCACCATCTGCACACACTTCCCATTTACAACTCTGGGCTGAATGTTTGGTTTACACCCCTTAAAGTCACCAATCAGTTCCTTCAACTTGAAGGTGTTCAAACGGAGGTTGTTGTTGGTGCACCAGACAATCATTCCACCTCCACTCTGGAGGTTAGGTGATCTCTGGAGGAGATGAGCCACACCATCATGGTAGGATCAGTAAACTTTATGATGGTATTGTTTGTCTTTATGAAGCCTGACCTGCTGATTCTGATGTTGGCCGATACCAGTTTTTTGCATGTAAAGTCAGCTTGGCAACAAAGTTACTTTTATTCATGCACATGTAGACGTCACCTGGTGGGCAGGTCCATCTAACCAGCTGACAAGATCAGTTTCACATGCAAGTATTGGCTGACATCCCAAAAGTAAGGAAATCAGGCACCAGTTTATCAGTGCAGCAAAACTATCCAGTGATAAGCTGGTGATCTGTGTATTTATCAGCATGATGAAGGACAATGGATCAACTTAGAAGTGATAATAAAGTTGATCAAAGATAAGAACACAAAAATTTTGGACCTGTGGTCAAGAATCTTCCCAGATCATAACTTCGCCTGAGAACATGTGAGCTGGTAAAAATCCAGCTCACAAAAAACCAGATGGAGAAAAAATGCCAATATATTGATAGCTCTAAAATCTAAGAACAGAAGAATGCATCACCATCCAGAAGCTCATATGCATTTATTTTTATATTAAATCAAAAACAAGTTTTGTTATCTCAAAGAAAAAAGCAAAAAAATTCTAGAAAATCTATTTGCAGCTTTGACTTCACACTATTTACTTTACATTCAAATATCATTAAGGATGTCCAGGCTTATTCAAGACAAGACATCAAAGGATTAGATGTAGATGTTTTGTTAATAATATTATTCAAATATCAGTTAGCACAAAATATTATTAAAAAATATATACTAACCTGATTTTTGTTGTCTTATTTATGGGACAAAGAAACTATTTCAGTTACCTAATGCTTTAAATTTAGACCAAGAACTCTGTGGATTTTGTCAGTTTTGTGTGGACTCACCGAACTGAGGATGACATGCTGGATCTGTTCACTGCCTGAGAAAGCCTGAGAACGGCTCCCAGCCTGCATAACAGGGTTTCTTTCATGCTCTACTGGGAGATCACATGATAATCACATTACCCGTGTAGGTCAAACCCACTGGCCCTGATCTAAATAATGCAGCCTGGGCTTACACAGCAACCGAGAATCAATTAAACAGACTTTAAAAGAAACTCTTTTGGTGGAAATTCTCCAAATTCTGCTCATATGTACAGTCAAAGTACATATGAGTGGGCCTGTCACGATACCAAATTTTACCGAGCGATTGTCTCAAAAATTGTGAAAAACGATAATATTGTTTGAAGACCTTTTTACACTGATTTAATGGAAATGATGTAATAATGCTTGCCAAATATAGATACACTTTATTTTCAAAAGAACACTTAACACTAACTGATAAAACAACCAAAAGCCTAAATAAAATAGATTCTCAGTCTCCATCAACAAAAAATGTATTTGAATAAAAACTAAACAACATAAAACCAAAGTGGAAATAAACACTGCATTCAACCAAAAGAGTGCAGATTATGAAGTCTGTATAGTATATCGCCTGGTAAACCCGGTAACGTTTAATCTGTTCTTCGTTAACGTGACATAAATAGGTTATGATTTTCATTCAGTCAGGTCTGACTCTAGCCACATGCATTGATTAATGCCTGGTTTTAAAATTAGTTACCTAGACTTGTAGCCATTATTTACACCAGGGGTCACCAACACGGTACCCGCGGGCACCCGGTGGTCCCCAAGCACCATTTAAGTCGCCCGTGGACCTGTTCTAAAAATAGCACAACTCACTACTGAGCAGCTCTCAGTCTAAAATTTCATTTTATTCAGTTGTTATTATTTTTATTTTTTGTATTTATATATACATTAAAATGTCTATCTTAAAAATATGTTAATCATATATATAAAATCCCTTCTCACCCACCGCGGGTGGTTCTTATCCTCTGAACTCGGGTCCTCTACCAGAGGCCTGGGAGCTTGAGGGTCCTGCAGTATCTTGGCTGTGCCAAGGACTGCACATTTCTGGACTGAGATGTCTGATGTTGTTCCTGGGATCTGTTGTAGCCACTGCTCCAGTTTGGGGGTGACTGCCCCGAGGGCCCCGATGACCACAGGCACCACTGTGGTCTTCACCTTCCAGGCCCTCTCCAGTTCCTCCCTGAGGCCCTGGTATTTCTCCAGTTTCTCGTGCTCCTTTTTCCTGATGTTGCAATCTCTTAGTATTGCTACATCTACCACAACGGCTTTCCTCTGATGTTTATCCACTACGACAATATCTGGTTGGTTCGCCATTACCATTTTGTCTGTCTGGATCTGGAAGTCCCACAGGATCTTAGCTCTGGCGTTCTCCACCACCTCTGGGGGTGTTTCCCACTTTGATCTCGGGTTTCCAGTACATATTCTGCACAGATGTTTCTGTACACTATGCCTGCCACTTGGTTATGTCGTTCCATGTACGCTTTCCCTGCCAGTATCTTGCACCCTGCTGTTATGTCCTGAACTGTCTCAGGGGCCTCCTTGCACAACCTACACCTTGGGTCTTGTCTGGTGTGGTAGATCTGGGCCTCTATTGCTCTGGTGTTTAGGGCCTGTTCCTGGGCGGCCAGGATGAGGGCCTCTGTGCTGTCCTTGAGTCCAGCTTTTTCCAGCCATTGGTAGGATTTACTGATATCAGCCACTTGGGTTATTTGCTGGTGGTACATCCCATGTAGGGGCTTGTCCTCCCATGACGGTATCTCTGGCACCTCAGCCTCCGTTCCCTGTTGTTGGAGACATTCACTGAGCACATTGTCTGTTGAGGCTTTGTCCCTGATGTATTTATGGATCTTAGTTGTTTCGTCCTGGACAGTGGTTCTCACACTCACTAGTCCTCTGCCTCCTTCCTTGCGGCTCGTGTACAGTCTCAGGGTGCTGGATTTGGGATGGAACCCTCCATGCATGGTTAGTAGCTTTCTAGTCTTAATATCTGTGGCTTTTAGAAAAATACCATGAGCTCAAGGCAGCTTTGGGGAGGAAACAGTCTTTTTTGAAAAGACCAACAAAAAAGTCCCAAAAGCAGCGGAAGCCTCGTTTAGAGCTACACATTTTCTGATAAAGAAGAAGAAGGCATTTTCAGAGGAGAAGTTGTCAAAGAAGCAATGATTATTACTGCTAACACTGTTCTCAAGGATGAGAAAAATGGAGCCGATCTGATCTCCACTCTCTCTGACGTACAACTGGGGACCTTTTCGATGCTTGACGAGTGTCAGTTATGTCTGGTAACTTGGCTGATCAGCTGGATCAGGATCTGGCGAGGTGCAGGTAGTTTAGCATCCAGTGTGACGAGTCCATGGACAGCAGCAGTACAGCGCAGCTATTGATTTTCGTCCGGATGGTCTTCGAAGATTTTTCCACCAGAGAGAAACTCCTGACGTTACTCCCCCTAAAGACAACCACGACGGCAGCGGACAATTATAAAACGGTGAAGGAGGTTTTTTATACACAGAAAGGTGCCGATGGAAAAGCTGGTAGGGTTGACTACAGACGGGGCACCTGCTATGATCGGCCGACATACAGGTTTCATCGCTCACTGTCCTGGTGACCCAGAGTTTTCCAAATTTTTGTATTATCACTGTGTCATTCACTAGCAGGCATTATGTGCAAAAGTGATCGGCTTTGAGCATGTGATGACTCCCATTGTAAAAATCATAAATAGCATCCGATTCAAAGCAAAACAGCATCGAATTTTCAAGGTGCTATTGGAGGAGATGTCAGCTTAATATGGTGACTTGCTGCTACACACCTAAATCAGATGGCTCAGCAGGGGGCGAGTTTTACTTCGTTTTTTGTCACTTTTGGATGAAATCACAGAGTTCATGCAGTCCCGAGGTGAAGATGTCTCACTGCTGGAGGACACAGCGTGGACACTTGACCTGGCATTTTTGACGGACATTACTGGGAAACTGAATCACTTGAACTGTGAGCTGCAAGGCAAAGACAAGACTGTCGTTGATATGGTAAGTGCTTTAAATTCATTTAAATCCAAGATGAACATTTTCACATTTCATTTACAGAGAAACCACTTTGTGCACTTTCCCTCTGTGCAGTCTGTGCTGAAAGACAACACTTGTGCATCTAAGACATTTGAAATAGTTGCAGAAAAGTACTGTGAAGTCATAAACAGACTTGGGCAGGAGTTTGAGAATAGGTTTTGTGGGCTTGATCAGCTTGAGACGTGTGTCATTTATTTCCAATCCTTTAATGAATGTGAATACAACTTACTTTCCTGAGCAACTTGGTGCAATGTTCAGCTTGGATGCTGGACAGGTGGAGATTGAAATCATAACATTGCAAAATGACCTCCTCCTCAAAGCCCACAGGTCTGCACTAAACCTTTGGTGCCTTGTTGACACAGAGAGGTACAGCGGTGTTTGCACAGCAGCTTTGAAGGTTGCCAGCCTGTTTGGTTCTACCTATCTCGGTGAATCAGCATTTTCTGATATGAACTTCATTAAGAACAAACACAGAACATGCCTCACTGATGCACATCTGAAAGACTCACTCACAGTTGCAGTGTCAAGTTACAAACCAGAATACAGTGCACTGGTGAACAGCATGCAATATCAGTCTTCTCACTAACAAGGACCAGATGTCAGTGGTGACAGTCAGTTGCAGTGCCATGGCAAATATAAATTAAAATATTTCACAATTTTGTTCAATTTAAACATGTTCAGGATATGTAAGTTAATGTATATAATTTTGTTAAAAATGCAGCAGATTCAGTAATTGGTTCAAAATGTGACAAGATTTATTTAAAAGTATGTGATTTTTCTAAATATTTGATTGTCCTTTAACATGACATGATTTATAACTTTTTAGTGCATGGTTTGTTAAAAGGATTTGTTTTTCGCTTATGAAAATGGGACATTTTTCTATAAAAGTTGGTGAAGTAAGTGAACATCTGAAAATGTATCGATTACTGTGATTAATGAGGTTTTGAATATTATTTGTTTCCCACCTTGTCATTGCCAATGATTGTGAGAAGTCATTGACGTGATGCATCTTCATAGATGATTATCATGATTCATTAATAATGTATAATTAAAAGGCAAACTGAGCAAATTTGTTATTTCAGAAGAGTTTATAAAACTGGTAGCCTTTTGTATGACTCCGTACCCATGAAGTAGCTCTCAGTTTTAAAAAGGTTGGTGACTCCTGATTTACACCGTGTAACAATTATATTGCTTTGTTCCTCGAAATGAGCAGGTATCACCACAAGGGGGCGCCTATTCCCTTTTTCCTTTGTTGTACTATTGTGCAGAGTGAGAACTCTTGTAGAGGAGATGATCAGTGATGAAGAGGAGCAGAGCGGTAAACTGTCGTTACTTTTCCCATATATGAGACTATAATCTACGGAGATCTGGCTTTAGATGGACGAAGCGAAATAAAGTGAAAGTGTGGAAAACTTCAACTGTTCGTCCTGCTGTTTTGGGTTAGAGTGGCTAACCGCCATTGCTAACTCCTTCTCCAACCTCTCACCTCACCGATCGAACCGTTATACTTAGTGTTTCTATCGGCTAATGTGTGGTTCTGAAAATGGGCCGACAATCAGCCGACAGCTTTAAGATTGTTAGTGTGCGATGGGCATTAAGGAAATAAGGAAGGGAGGGTGAGTGGAAAGCACTGCGTTTAGCCATTTTCATTCAGTCATCAACAGAAAGAGAAAAAGGCCGGAAGAAACGATATAGTCGATAACTGAAATGAGTTCGATAGCTTTAATTTACCGTGCGAATGACTGATTTATTGTTTATCGCGACAGGCCTACATACGAGTACATTTGAGTTATTTCACTTGGCCATTTTAATGAAACAAAAGCAAAGAATTTCACCATTAAATTACAGTTGAATGATTTCGGATGAAATCAAGAATGTATACGTTAAAGGTAAAAAAAATGTTCACAGAGATTAAATGTTCTGTTGCATGTGTGGAAAAACTAGGACATCCAACT